CACTGGTGAGAGCCAGCTCTGCTGGAAGAGACTGCAAATTGTGGGCTGTGTCTTGTGTCTGTTGTGAGGCACTGGTGCTGTCAGGCAGGCCCAGGACCCTTGGGGGCGCCGTAGAAGCTCAGCAGTTTGAAACCACCAGCTGCTCCGCACGAGAAAGCTGGGCTTTGCACTCTCGTGAAAAGTTACAGTGTCCGAAACCCACAGGGACAGGTCTGCCCTGTCCCGTCGACTGATGGCAGTGGGGCTGAGGGTTCCCGGGGAGCAGGAGGCACGAGGCACAGGGCAGAGGCACCGGCAGCCTCGCCATCGCCAGTTAAGGTTTTTGCTCTGGACTGATCCTCAGAGTCGCTAGAGGTGACTTGGCCTCTTGGTCCCCATTCCTGACTCTCTTGGCCAGCCTCGTACTGCTTAGACTGCATTCTGCCTTTTACTAACCACCCATCGTGCGGTGCCAAGATCATACATTGAAAATTACATTAAAAATGGACACCCTGTCCTTTTACAGTGGGGCATATCGTCATCTCGCATTTATCTGAGCTATTACAATATCAAAAGGTAATATCAGGAGAGACCAGTCCCTGGAGAAGGGCATCATGCCTGGATAAGTAGGGGGCCTTCAACCCAGGGGACGCGTCTCGGTGAGATGGGTGGATGAGTGGCTGCAGCAATGGGCTCAAACATAAGCACCATTGTGCGGGAGACGCGGGACCGGGCGGTGTTTCCTTCTCTTGTGCGTGGCATCTCTGGGAGTCGGCGTTGACTGGACAGGAGCTGATGACAGCAACAATAGAAGCAAAGCCATAGATAATCCAATAAGCCATTGGGCTTTGACGTGTAGCCAGAAGTGGACATTGTTTTCTGGCAGCCTGTGAGAGGCAGCATGGCTTGGGGCACAGGCTCTGGAGTCAAATTCGCTGGGGAAGTGATGTGACCTCAGGATTTGGCCTCCCTTCCTCACCTCATAAAACCGGCTGACGTCACCTACTTCACAAGAGGCCATGGAAGTTAGATGAGACGATGTCGGCAGGACACCTGGTTTATAGTAAGTGCTTAATAACGTTAGCTGCCTCCCTGCATCCTCACCCTGGCTCCTCAAAGCAGCTAAGCTGCTCATGAGTAAATAGCAGCGGCCCCCAGCCCTGCATGCTGTGACTAGGGCATGTACAGAGAAACTCAAGTGTGAGCCGAGATGCCACTGAACGCATTTTCTCCCTCTTCACTGTCGTCCTCGGTGCTGCCCACACCTGGCACTCACCCAGGGAGCTTTCAAACCACTGATGCCTTGCTCTCCGGAGAGGGCAGAGGTGGGGTATCCTTGGAAGTTTCAGGGCTCCCCTGAGGCGTCTAACACGGGGCAGGCCAGCGTCGAGCTCCGCGGCCCTGGTGCCAGCCGGGTGGCTCAGGCTCTGAGTGGTACTGAGGTTCTCCCAAGGGCGGGCTCAACCTGGCCGCAGGCATCGCTGGAAAGCTTGGTAAACACCTGCACCTTCCAGGGATGCTGGGCAGTGGGGTGGCTCTGGGGTTGTTTCTTTCTTTCTTAAAGGTCCCAGTTGATGTGTTTTGTGCAGTCTGGTCAACACAGTTGTGTAAGGCAGCTCATTAAGATCATGTAAAGTGAGCTTTATCTCGACAATGTACCCATTGCATTATAAAAATGCACTTAGCGCCTAACGCTTTTCTTAAATCACCTAATGCATCTATTTATTTATTGCCCAATGCATTTTTAAAAGACAATGAAAATCTGGTTAGATTTGTACTTAGATGTTTTTAGCAGCCTGGTGGAAACCTGTCCTGCCTTTCGCGCCACGTAGCAACCTCTTGCTACAGAGACTGTCCCTCATGTGACATTGATGTCAGTCGTCCTCCTGATGTCCGCTTGATGCAGACCCTGAGGCCATGGGGGTCATGTGGTGCTTTTCTTCTTCGTTTTGCTTAATTTTGATCTTTTTTAAAAATCCAGGCCAACTTTCATGCTCTAAAGGACATTGGGTAGCATTTCGCTCGCCTCTTCCCCACGTTGTTTTGGGGGAGGCCGTGGTCACAAAGTCATGGGCAGCAGTCATCACCGTCACCACCATCGTGACCTCATGTGTCCTCCCAGCACCTCACTTTGCGAATGAGGGGCCCGGGACTCAGAGAGGCGAGGTTAATCTAGCCAGCGTGGAGCCCCAGGCCCGGGACCCTAATGCCGGTCCTATGCTGCCTTCAGAAGTCATGGTCTACAGCCGGAGTCTCAAACCACGGCCCGCGGGCCACATGTGGCCCGCCAAGGACATTTATCTGGCCCGCTGGGTGTTTTTGCCCCATTTCGTTTTTTTAACTTCAAAATAAGATATGTGCAGTGCGCATAGGAATTTGTTCGTAGTTTTCTTAAAAACTATAGTCCGGCCCTCCAACAGTCTGAGGGACAGTGAACTGGCCCCCTGTTTAAAAAGTTTGAGGACCCTTGGTCTACAGTGTGGGAGTTTCCTGGGCTGACCTTGCGCTGCCACAGTGACCCCCTGATAGGGCTTCCCTTTGGGTCAGTGAGGCGGCTGAGGTCCCAGGGAACGGACTCCCAGGCCAAGCTGAGCCACTCAGACTGACAGCCTGGGGAGCAGCAGCCACCGCCTGCAACGGCAGAGGGGAACCCCGTGGGGGAAGTGTTGCTCTAGGATTCATCACGTACACACCAAAGCTGGAACATCAGGGTCATGTTCAAAGAAGGGCCGATGGGAGCTCCGAGCTTCATGGTAAGCAAAGCCAAGTGCAGGCATCGCCTTGCATTCGTGGCTTACTCAGGTGACAGCTCCAGGCTCCTTCACCTGTCAGCTCAGCAACCTTGAGCGATCGGTGAGTTCAGCCCTGCTTTACAGACGGGGAGGCAGAGGCTCTGAAGGTCAATCGCCTACTCAGTCGACAGCTAGTAAGTGGAAGTGAGACGCCAGCCTACCCCAAATGACACCAAAGCCTGGACCACGCCAAGTGTGTCCTCAGAGGGAAGCTCACCAAGCCCAGGCCCATGTGCACACTGACCATAGAAACAGCTAGAGTCCAGCCAGGCCCTCAGGAGACCCAGCTGCCCCGTGAGGCTCAGGACGGACTTTGGACGTGGACAGATGTACTTACTTATTCATCACTCTCGCCATTCCCACACTCCGCAGCCTTCGGCTTTCATAAATGCCAAGAAACCATGACCATGAAAAGAAGGCGATCCCAGTTTGCAACTGGCTTCAGGGCATGGGAGTGAGCGGACTGACAGAACGTAGTGATGATAGTAACTCATTGTATTGGTCACTTTGTATGTACTGGTCAGTGCGGGGTGAAGCCCTCTATAGACATCACCTCACTTAATCCTCACAACCACTCGGTAGAGTTAAAAACTACACACTCACTGCCCGCACGTCGCTTCTCCCCACTTCTCGCAACACGAAGGGACCGAGTAGAAGAACCTCTCTGGGTTTCTGAGACTTTAACTACTTACTGGAGAAGACAGCCTTGTCTTTTTCCTGGGGAGCAACTGGTGGATTCCAACCGCTGCTCTCCTGGTTCACAGCTCAGTGCATAGCCCACTGCCGAGCAGTAGACTCACCGTCACTCTGTAGGGCAGAGTAGAACTGGCCCTGCGGGTTTCTGAGCCTGTACGTGTTTGTAGCCGTAGAAAACTTCGTCTTTCTCCTGTAGGGGGCTGGTGGTTTCAAACTGCTGACCCTGAGGTTAGTAGTCCAACAAGGACCCCACTACTCCTTCAGAGCACCTTTCTACAGAGTAGGTGCTCTTACCATCCCCACTTTACAGATGGGCACATTGAAGACGGATAGCTGAAGGAGCTCAGCCAAGACTGCACCCTGCTAGTTGGAGTCAGATTCCAACCCAAGCCCTCTAATTCCAGCCCTTAACGGGACAGTGGGCCCCTCCCCACAATAATCCACAGAGAGCTAGGTTCCCAGTGTTCGACAGGAGAGCAGCGCTTTCTCGGCACAGGTAAGGCTGGTGTTCGTTTCCATGCCCAGGAAACACGACATCAGTGAGGCTCCATGCATGTGGGGCTGTCTGCACTCACAGAAGCAGTGAGCCTCGCCTTGAGCCCTCTCCCTGCGGTTGCAGAGCCCATGCTGCTTCCACCAGGCACTCTGGAAAGCCACCGAGACACTGCCAGCTCAGAGTAGCCCAAAATAGAACATGGAGAACTGAGACTAATTCTTTACATGGTTAAAAGCCTCGTCTTTCTCCGTGGAACAGCTGGTGGTTTTGAACTGCTAACCTTGTTGATAGCAGTCCAACTGGAACCCACTGCACCAATGGGGCTGCTGCTGGTCCCAGATACGGCTCGTAGGATGCAATCGTACGGGAAGCGGGAGATGAAGATCAAACAGATAGAGAAGAGGATGGATAGTGGTGATTACTTGGTTTAGGTTTTATAAAAAGAAAGAAGGAAGAAAAAAAGGTACAGGTATCCCTTCCCTTGCAGAAGACAGAGGTGAAAAAGCTGGACTTCCCAGACAATCTTACGTGTAATCCTATTTTAAACGCTGCCTTTAATGTACACTGCCCAGCACTCTTGGTATGTACCCCCATCTTTAATCCTCAGCAGTGGAGGTGGTTGCTATCAATAGCCCTCATTCCACAGCTGAGAAAATATCGATGCAGAAATCTGAAATGGTCAGGGCCACACAACAGCCAGTGGGGGAGCTGGGACTTTACGCAGATAGCCTGGCTCCAGATCCCTGCCTCTGGGCCTTGGTCCTATTGAGTTCTGAATTACTGACTTGTCCCCAGAGAACAAGTTGTGGGCCACTCACCATGCCAGTGCTTAATTCAGATAGCTCGTTTGCCTTCACACAGGTCTAAAACTGTAGGTGTTATTATCCCCACTTCCCCCCACCAAAAACCAAAAGCCAAACTCACTACCAGTGAGTTGATTTTAACTCATAGCGACCCTACAGGACAGAGTAGAACTGCCCCTGTGAATTTCCCAGACTGAACCTGTTCAAGGGAGCAGCCAGTGGTTTCGAACTGCTGGCCTTGTGGTTAGCAGCCCAACTCACAACCACTACTCCACCAGGGCTCCTACTATCCCCATTATACAGATCAAAACCGGGTCTGCGAGATGGTCTGAAGTCACACAACGAGGAAATGCAGAACCATTGACTCAGATCCACCAGATTCTATCAGCCCACGGCCTGAACCACCATCAACACTAACTCCGCTGCTACACAGTGAGAGCAATCAGACGAAAATGTCAGTAGAGAGGAGTTCTGCGGGTTTCCTTGCTTTCACACAGGAAATGAATGGTCCGCAGGCAGGGAACTGTCTGGGGCAAGACGTTCCAGAGGACCCAGGTGGTGTCTGCTCCCTACACAGCGCCTGGCACAGTGCCTGGCCCATACGAGCCTCTCCACAGATATGTGGGGGACGTGTAGCCCCTGGGAGGCTATGGGGGGTGGACGGTGGACATAGACCAAGCCGTATGTTTCAACACAGGCATCATCGCAGTGAACTGCTCAGAGCCCTGCCCCAGACAGATGGCCCCGGTGACATGGCGCTGCCCCAGGCCGCTGCAGGTGGGTGCTGACCCTCGTGTGTGTATGGAGGGTGAGGTGCCAGGCATGCCTGTGAGCAGCAGAGTGGTCACAGCCCGGGCATGTGAGTCCTGCCGGTTGGTGACACTTGTGAGATTGAAAGGGCCGTCATATTAGACAACTCACCACGGCCACCCCCACCCACCTTGTAAATGGTGATGCTAATTTGGCACTTTCTGCCCCAAAGGAGCTTTCTCCCCTGTGTGATTTGTGCTGGGACACAGATTACAATCCAGGTCACACGGATAAAGTGGGGAGCGAGGCTGGGCTTCTACACAGGGCTTCTTCCACCTTTCAGATGTACCCTTATCACACTTCGCTAGAGAGACTGGCCCCTGAGGCCCCTCCCAGAGCTTTCCTGCGTTGGTTTAAAGAAACGGATGAGGAAGCCTATTTTGAATGGAATTTAAAGCCAATTTAGATTATGCTCTGAATTTGTAACCCTGGATTTCTCCCCTGTTGTCAGCTCCCAAATGTTTGGTGGGAACTTGTTGGCTGTGGCGTCCGGTCACTTTCCCTTCTTTAATGGGCAGACTAGTCCCCAAGGCCGAAGGCTGTGCACAGGCTGTGCAAAATGACCAGTGCGTGCTGTGGGGTGGGGAGGAGGGCGGCATGGGACATAAGCAAGGAGTCAAGGTCCTCCTTGGTCCAACTCCAGCCAGCCAGTCTGCAAAGGAGTCTGGTGCCAGGCCCAGGGCCTAGGATAGGCTGCCACTCTTTCAGCCAAAGACAGAAACCAGGCTGACTCAAGAAACCCTGACGCACAAGACAGAAGGCAACGTGGGGTTTTCCACCTCCAAACTGCTTCAAAGACCCAGTGAAAATTAAGCAAGTTATATTCTGTAAACTATGTGACCAAAAAACAGGTTTTACAGTGATGGTTGAAAATTATTAGCAGGTTTTGCAATGATCACAGGATACAATTGATACTCTGAACAAGGGACAAAAAGACAGATTTTGTAATGACCACAGGAAATTGTCTATACCTATATTTCTCCAGGGCTCATCAGCCCACCATCCCCTGATGCCTGCTGGCTTACTACCACCTTCCTCAGTCAGAATATTGAACTTAAAAGGAAATTTTTCTGGAAAGGCGGGGAGGGGTTATTGCATTTTGGATTTCTAAGAAACTAAATCTTAAATTATGTTATATTTCTAGTATTTTATTTAACAGCAGGCTAGCCCTTTTACCCCCTCTATCAAGTCCACCACGGGGGCACCCCACTTGGGCTGGCGGGACAATCCTTCCAGATCAGTAGGTTAAATAAACCTAAACTAGTGCTTTTGGACATCGCAAGGTCAATAATTCGCAGCCACTGAGATGAGGCTTTCTGCTCCCATGAAGAGGTACAGCCTGGGAAACCCACAGGGCCCTTCTTGACTCTGTGCTGTAGGGTCTCTGTGAGTAGTGTTGACTCCATGGCTGTTCGTTTTCGAGAGCAGACGCTTCCAGAATCCTCGCTCTTTGGCTGGTCTCTCCCTTTTCCCTGTAGGGTTCAGTCAGAACCCTCTTTCCCCACAAGCCTGGTCCTCCGCCTTCACTGGGATCAGCTCTCTCCCTGCACCAAGACCCACTCCGCGTCTCCTTCCAGTGGCTCTCGCCCTACTCTGCTGGGCACGGCATGGTGGGCTTTGTCCCTCATCCCTTCTCTCTCCCTCCAGGCCCGCAACCATTGTGTTCTTGTGCGATGCAGCTGGCTGAAAAAGGACTTTTTTCACTGAATGAAAGCTAATCATTAAAAAAAATCAGACACTCTACTTAAACACATGATCGTAGCTCTATTTTTGTTCATTTGTTTCTGATGGTGGAGAAAAGTCTAAAGTCGTCAAAATGTGTTCAATTTTAATTTTTAAAATAGATGTACATCTGGATTAATCCTAACTATCAATAGTAGTATAGTACATCTATGAATGGCATCTTGGATACTTAATGTTGGAGTTTGTATGGCTTCACACACTCTTTAAATATATATTTTACATGAAAATATCTCATAATTTGGGAATATTTGACAAAAATGTTTTGTCTTTTTCTTTCATCTTAAGAACTAGTATGACTGATGGTGGTGGCAATTATTGATACTGTGAATTTTAAGTTGTATCAAGCATGATAGAAATTTACTCTTGCAAAATTTACCTCAGCAAAATGCACAAATGAAGTGCTTTGAAATGTATTTTATTCATTTTTAAAGTATATTTTTCTATTTATCAAAATATATCAGGGGCTTTAAAGGTGTTCATGGCCTTTGATTAATAAATACCCTTTCTTCGAATCTGGATAAGGGGAAAAATGAGAAATTGATGCCAAGGCCCATGCAAATGATGGTGTTTATCACAACAGTCGCCACCTTGCGGGAAAACAAAGGGAACTCCAATAGGTAAACATGGACGTAAATGATGCCGTATACATACGGCGAGGAGTTTGCCTCAAAACAGAAATGTTTGTGAGGTAAGTAAGAAAAGAAGGACACAATACTGCTGTGATTCCAAACGTGCGCCGGACAGGTAGCGGGATAGACTGCCCTGTGCGTTTGCCTGTGAAGGAGATAGACCGAGTAGGGATGACCGCTCGGCAGTTTCTCTAAGGAAGCAGAGTTATGCATGATTATTGCTTTCTACCAGAGGGATTTTTACAAGCGCGGCAGGGGTTTTCTCTGCCTAAGGTTGGCATTTGATGAGGTGGCATGGGTGTTCCTATGACAATATTTCTAAAGGATCGTTTGGCATGCAGTGTGTGTTAGCACGTGCTGTGAACAGCGCACTTACTGGCCACCAGAGCCCCTGTGATTTGGGGCTATCCTTGGGCCATTCCCCACCCCACCCCCATACGCAGACAATAGCTGAGTTCGGGCAGCTGGGGTGTGAAATGCTGGGACAGGTGACACCTCCCCGGCCCTTAACAGCCCCACTCTGTGTGCTTCCTGGGAATGGGGGTCTCTCCCTTGGCTGATGGTAGCCAGCAGAGGATTCCCTTTCCGTCCACCCAGAGCAGCACTTCCTCCCACATCATCCATTTACACAGACTGTTCCAAGGTGGCAGATGGCAGTCCCTGGGGGAAAATAATTCACACTTGGCTGCTAACTGAAAGGTTGGCAGTTCACACCCACCCAGTGGCACCACGAAGAAAGGCGTGGCAACCTGCTTCGGTAAAGATCACAGCCGAGCCAACCCTCCTCTTGCCCTCCTGCTCGTCACATCCCAGGACGCGGCTCTCTTTGTGGCGTCCTTTCTGCGCAGGCCCCGCTGTCTGAGTGCTTAAGCTGAACCACCCCGGCCTACCATGGCTCCCTTGGCATTACTAGCAACCACCCCGTGCCTGGCACGGATGCTGCCGTGCGGAAACTCCCCACAAAAAGCCACTGGAAGAAGAAATGGTTCTTCTCTGTTCTCTACCTGTGGGCATGGTGGGCACGTGCCCATGGCTGCAGGAGACCTTGGAATGAAATGTACATCATCTAACCTCCTCTGTGGGAGAGCAATGAGAAACCACCCACTTATTTGAAAGGTCAGACACTGGTGACTTGCTGTACACTTACTACAGTGGTTGAATAAATAAATTAATATTAAAATATGACAAAATAATATCATTTATAAATTATCAAGGGTTCGTGGGGGAGCGGGGAGGGAGGGGTAAAATAAGGAGCTGATACCAAGGGCTCAAGTAGAAAGCAAATGTTTTGAGAATGATGATGGCAACATATGTACAAATGTGCTTGACACAACGGATGGAGTGTGATAAGAGTTGTACGAGCCCCCAATAAAATGATCTAAAAAAAAGAAGGAAGAAATTAAGATTAAAACCTCACAGATGCGGGATAGGTCAACTCCATACAGACATTCTGAGCAGTATCACCAGCACCAAATGAAAATGTGAGTTGTTACATTTTCAAATGCAATGTACTGGTTTTTAGGAAACACTCCATAAGGGTTGAGTGGATACTTAGACAAATGGACTGATGGGTGAAGGAATCAATAAGCAACAACAACAAAAACTCACTGTGTTGAGTCAATGCCAACTCAGAGCGACCCTGTAGGACAGGGCAGAGCTGTTCCTGTGGGTTTCCACGACTAGCTCTTTACAGGAACAGACAGCCGCGTCTTTTTCCTGTGGGGCACCTGTTAGTTTCAAACTGCTGACCTTGCAATTGGCAGCCCAACTCGTAGCCACCAGGGCTCCTACAAATGAATGAATGATGAACTCATATTCCACTTACACTGCGCCAGGCACTGCTCTGAGAACCTTATAATTATGAACTTATTTAATTCTAAAATGCCCCTGAAATAAGAAAAAACTCAATGGATAAAAGATACAACACTTGAGACTTGGCACCTTGGATTAGAATACCCAGTCTAAAAATTCCATAGCAATGATTTCCGTGCATTTGACAGGGATTTGTGATCGCCTTTGTGAGCACTTGTCCCCTCCAGCAAGCACTCAGGGCGAATAGCATTCATTCTGACTCACAGTGACCCTAAAGGGCAGAGTAGGGTCTGTTGTTCAGAGGGGTTTCTGGGCTACGTGCCCTGCTGGGGAAAACCTAATGAAACATCAGCTCCAAGCCCACCCACCCCCCCACTGACCTCCAGTCAATTCATAGCGACCCTCCAGGACCGGGCAGAACTGCCCTGTGGGCTTCTGAGGCTGTAGCTCTTCAGAAACAGAAAC